CATAAAGATTACAAAAATTTATGCGCATCAATAAATAATTTTTATTTAGTTTAATATCGCAGAAAGTAGTTCTATTTTCAGTATTCTGTTCTGTAATTCTGCAAAATGAACTTTTTTAAACTGAAAAAAAAAACGCGTTTTTCTTACAAGGTTTACTCTTAAAATTAAAATTTAAATAAGCATGGCGTATGAGGTTTTTATAATTAAAAGTACCTCAGCTGTTACTTTTAATTTTAAAAATATTTTCTACGAAAAGAAAAAGGGCAAACAGCAATGTGCAATTTGCTAAACTGCAAAAGGATTTTAAAAATCTGTGGTGGTAATAATGTGAAGATTGAAAGTTCAACCCAACCTAATATTACCGGAGAAAGCACATCAGATAAACCACCAAAAAAGAACACGCTACACTTGCTTGCCTTACGGCGTCTGACAGGCTTTCATTTAATGTGATTTGTTCTTCAATAAATTTACGTGCCGCTCTAACTGCTATGAGATTCAGAAATCTACCAACGTCAGTAAATACAATTTGTTTTACAACTTCAGTTCCTATTAAAACAGCGATTGAAGCACTTACTCGCCGAGATTCTAACCTATTTACAGTTGACATTGCTATTAATTTTTAACCTATTTACAGCTGACAATAACCTATTTACAGCTGACATAGAGCTGACATACATACCTAACCTATTTACAGCTGACATTGCTATTAATTTTATGCTTACAAAATTAAAAGATGCTGACAATAACACAAGCAGGAAAATGCGTACAACTTTATTGAGTCGTATATATAAACGCCTAACTGATATGAGTATACTTCGCAATATCTGCATAACGGTCGAAGCTCAATTGAAGTCGATGAAAAAATAATTACAGTGCCTTCTTTATTTAAATGTCGAAAACTGTTGGTAGAATTGCTGGAAAGATTAAACGCTTCCAATCCTGCTTTAGTAAAAGCATCAGTTGAATCTTATATGCTGGATTTATTGTAGAACCTGAAACTAAAAATAACACTTTAAGTATTGAAGAGAAGCTTGATAGTGTAATTAAAGAAGCGCAATCACTGATGCAACCAGTTAGACATGAAACATTGTTATAAAAATTCAAAAAGAAATGACATTATTTGAAAATGGTCGTACATGTGGTGATTATTTAGAAAGAGTTTCTAATGACGGTGAAACTGACAAGTGCCGAGGCAAGCATTTTTTTCCGAAGGACTGTTTAATAATAAAATTCGTAACAGGTTGGGCAATGAAACATTGTACGTGTTGTGCTTCCTGAAATTACATTTCAAAGTACATGAAACATGATGTATCTTCTTATTTCTACTGAAATTTCTTAACATTAATTAACATGTTTTTTTTCTATGCATGTAACAATTTAATGCAAACAGCATCATTTACAAAATATATATTTGTTTAAGAGCGTACTGTTTTTATTCAACTTTTTTTTTTCTTTTTTGTTCTTTATTACAATATTTATGATACATATGTTACAAATAATATAAAAAAAGAAAAGTTAACAAACCATGATATCGTAACGAAATAAAGTATAAAAATAAAAATGAAGAACGCTGATTCTCAAAGAACACTATAGGGTCTTGTCACAGAGAAACCGCTATTGAAGAAATTAGAACGTTTTTTTAATGGTTTTTCCTTTTGTTGTGGTGTTTACACCTTGCATTAATCAAATTACTGTGTCTTCCGAACAGCTGACTCATGCAAATAATAATGTTCATAATTTTCTGAATAAACCTCTTGCGCGCACTGAATTTAATTTGTCAAAAATAGTCACTGAAACTTATTAATTGCTACATATTGTTCACTGTATATAAATGTAACCACATTTCCAGACTGAATAAAATACATTTCCAGATCGTTCAAAAGGTTGTACAAAAGAACCTAGATAAGATGCTTATTGCTGTTTGTAGGCCAAATTACCAAATTATTGTTTACTTTTCTCACGACAAAAACGCCTAGACACTGCCAAAGGGTGGTTCACCTCCAAACGTAGCCTACATACATATATTGGCAGATACGCATACATCATTTTCTTTTTCGTTAGAATCCATTTTATTTTTGTTTTTTCATAATCAAAATGAGATTAAAGAATTTTTTTTATAAATCCTTTGTGATTAATTTATTATATATAACTTTAGCATACTTACCCTTTGCCCTTAAATCTTTTGCCTCATTCAGGAGTTTTTTGCAATTCCATCGTATGATCGCTATAATCTTCATTAATGTAAATCTTTTGAATACATAATTTCATCGTCGTGTATTTTCTTAATATCGTGGCTTTGTCTTTGTAGTTAAGAAATCTGACATTCGCGGTGAATGCTAATTGGCTAATGATTTTACCAAATACTATATAGAGGCTCTGTTTTCTATATAGAAGCTGTCTGTTTTTCAATCCCAGGATCCTGAGATTGATGTTGTTCAATCCTAAAATCATGGGATTGAGGGGTTTGCTCCGGGATTGCAAACCCTCATCATTATTTTGCTCTATAAACTTCATCTTTTCTCTTCCAGTAACTTCTAACTCTAATAGTGGTTGCTTGCAGCCTTGTTGAAAGAAAAGATTAAAAAAAAGTAAAAATTAGTTTTTGTCACTATTCTATACGCTTCATATTTATATATATATATATATATATATATATATATATATATATATATATATATATATATATATATATATATATATATATATATATATATATATCAGCGGATTTATATAGACTTGTTTACTCATAGGCCATTGTTTTATCATTTGCTTAGGATGATTAGAGTGCGAGTTATTGTTCTCCCTCTCCCTGAGTCCTAAAATTTTATTCCTCCTACATAATAGTCTTTACATTCATTCAAGATTCTTACCCAAGGGCATCATCTACAATCCGGTTCTATTTTTATATCTCCCAGGTCTATGTAACTGGAGGGCTCTATTGGTCACTTTTTTCAATCAATTGCTTAAACAATTATAAAATGTACTCTTTGTGACTGGTGAGCCCCAACTTTTTCAATATACACTACAACAACAAAACAAACATTAGGCTACCTAATGAATGTGGTTACGACGCTCAATAACCTAATGACTGTGCTGACACTCATGCATATGTTCATTCTAAGCTACACAATGCACGTTGAATCAGTGCTCACTGACTATGTGCTCGGATCTAAAATCTCACTTCATAGCACATCATTTCACACCAGGTTGCATCTCTTTATAGCCTACGGTGACTAATGTGTTCATTCGATCAATTGAAATCTTTTTATTTTTATTTTTTCTGAATGAAGTTTCTCAATCTTTTCCTTTTCAGGAAAAGATTTTTTCTCCTGATTTCCTCTTTATTTGTTTTGTCTTTGAGGAGCTTTAGGTAAGGGCCGCACATATTCTGGAATCAGTTTTGGATTGTTTGGATTGAAGTTATTCAAGTTGCAAGAGGAATGTGTTTCATTAGTTGATTTAGCTTGCAAATTGTTTTGAATAGGTTTATCTATTACCCCTAGATTTTCACTTGGTTTTCCAATTAGGGTTCTATTTGTGACATATATGGGCATGAAATTTTTTTGTGGCTTGTCGTTCAGACACTAAATTATTAAAAAAACTAATAACTGCTTCCTTTACCACATTATTTTATTTTATTTTTTTTATTTTTTTGTAATTTTCCTCTTCCTGGGTTTTTCAGAAACTTGTATTCCTGAACTTTCCATTATAAACACTGAAAAAACTTATATGAGTCATTGCATGGACTCATATATAGGCAACCAAAAAATAACATAAACCCAATTTGCATAAAAGTGGACATTTGAGATTTTTATTCCAGGGTTTTCAATTTTGAATAATAATGTAAAAATTGTTATAGAAATTTCATTAGGCAGAGGTTTTATTGAATATAAAAATCTTTCAGACTCATTCATTGAAAATTAGCATCATCAGAGGATAATTAAAAAGTGAGAGAACATCTTTTCTATAAGAATTTTTATTTTTATTTTATTTTGAAAAGGTTATGCAACATAAATGTTAGTTATCAAGTTATGATACATAAGTATTAGTTATCAAGTTATGGTGAATAAATGTTAGTTATCAAGTTATGGTGCATAAATGTTAGTCATCAAGTTATGGTACATAAATGTTAGTTATCAAGTTATGGTACATAAATAATAGTTATCAATTTATGGTGCATAAATGTTAGTTACGAAGTTATGAAACATAAATGTTAGTTATCAAGTTATTGAACATAAATGATAGTTATCAAAACATTAAAAAATATACAAAAAAAGTTATGCATTTGATAAAGACATTTTTGTCTTTATTAAAGTTGTCTAGCAAATGTGTAACCCTTGGTAGGTCAATTGAGAACTTAAAGCCTAGAGACATAAAGTCCCCTGTTTCTTTTTGTGATTAGCATACTTTATTACAGCTTCTTAAAGGTAATATTTGTTTATATATTACAATGTCACTTGTGAAAAATATTTTTTTTTTCCCGATTTGACAGGAGGTATACTGAACATTTATACATAGGAATGGAAAATATGGAAATTATCTTTAACAATTGTGTTCTCAATTGTTAAAGATAATTTCCAAAAAAATTTGTATTTTTTTTTTTTTTTTTGAAATAATTTAAACGTGAAAAACTGTTCTCAAACTGTTCTCAAACGCATTGGGTTCTTTGAGAGAAAATGTTTGTATTTATCTTAAATAATTATAAATGTATGTATTTATCCTTATATTAAAAAAAAATTACTTAATGTACATTTAAAGTATATTTTTTAACAAAATAAAAAAATTTAAAATTTAACAAAATTTTAAAAACTTTGTATTAATAAATTGTTTTTTTGTTGTTCTTGACAGAATTGGTGTATAAATTTAAGTTGTCAAGAAAACATTAAAACAATATGCAAAATATAGTTTTAAATAATGTAGGCAATATTTAACCCTTAAGACATTGTAGAGTTTTTAAGGTTCCTAGTCCCTAGGCTCTTCAATAGTTTTTTTGTCTTCAGATAACAGTATTGAGAAGACTACTAATGATTGCAAAAATGATCCATCAAATTCCGAAGTAACTAATTTTTTTTTTCAGTTTGTTATATAATCTGTTATATTCACTTTTTTTATTTAAATAAATTCAGAAATATATTGATAAAAAAAATTCTAACATTTTTTAATTTTTAGGAATTTATGTTGAAATTTTACCGGGTAACTTTTAGTATTTGTGTATCCTTTTTATATATTTTTGGTTATACTTTCTTATATTTTACATTTATTTTACTTTATTTTTTTCATTATTTATTAAAAAAATAATTTCAGAATTGTTGTGATAAAAAAGTTTTTTTCTTTTGCATAACTTTTATTTTTATTTTAGAGAACTACAAATTCCGTGATTATCTTTTCACTTTTTAGTATTTGCGTAGTATTAATAGCCATTATTTTCTATAAGCCAACAGTGATTCCTCCAAATCATTATTATGTAACTCCTGAAACGTTTCAACTTAAGATAGATAAAATGAATGAAAGGTTTTCAAATCAAGATGACATATTTTGGTTAAAGATTAAAAAGCTTGGATTTAGACACTTAAAAAGAGTGTTTAAAAATGATTCAAATGAACAACAGCCATTTACAATGCTAATAGCTGGTTATGATGGAACAAATTTGACAATGAAATGCTTTTTAAAAGATTTGGGATTGGCTTTTACAGATAAAAATTATAATACTTTAATTTCTGAAGGAACCAGCAAAGAAAGTTTAGATAAACAGATTCAGGAAAGTTTAAATTCTCTTCAGAAGTATGTTGTTGTGACAAATATTGAACAGATGACTTTAGAAACAGCAAGCATATTCATGAACTATGCTGATGAACACATTATTAGTTCTCAAATAAGTTTTCCAAAATCTACTATTATTATGACAGCTGAGATGCCATTTTCTTTTCCTGAAAACAATGCAAATTATAACAGAATAAAAGAAGAGGAGAAAGTCATGAAATATTTTGTTAATGAGATCTGGGGCCATGATAAAAATAAAGCTTCACCATTATGGTCTCGAATCGGAAATGTTGTGGTTTTATTAAAACCTGAAAATTGGGCAGACAAACAGTGCAGTTAAACAATTTTTTACATGATTTTTTGATTTTGTTATTTAATTTTTTGAAATAATTATAATATATAATGCTACGTTATATATATATATTTTCTAATAATTTCTGAATAGAAAAAAATTAACTATAATATTTTTATATTTGTAAACCAAATTTTATTTAGTTGTTCAAGTACCTGTTTCATAATTGTTTGAATATTTTTAAAGCAATTTGTAAACATAAAATTGAATATAAAAATAAAATTTATTGTAAAAAAATATTATATTTTTTAGAAATGAATAATAAAATAATTTTAAAATAGATTTTTGTTTTTGTTTTAATCTGTAAATAGGGTGCCAGAAAAATAAAATGTAACTTGTTGACTCCATCTTCCAATCTATTTCCTCTAAAGTTCTACACGTTTCTAATTTTTTTTTTTTCATTCTGGCTTTTAAGTTTTAACTCCGGATCCTTGATCATCTTTTAAAAAATCATATTGCATTTGTTAAAAAAATTAAAATAATTTTATGTTGAAAAGATATCTAAATTTTCTCAATAGTTTTACCTAAATTTCTGGGTCTTTTACCCCTATGTTCCCCTTATTTACCCCATTGTACCCCTATATTACCTGCTAGTTACATTATATTGAACCTACCCCAATATTCCTTTTACCCCTAGTTTCATTATGTTGAAATCTTAAACATATTGTTTGATGTTTAAAAACAAATTTAAAAAGGCGTTATAAAAGTACGCACTCAGGTATGGGGGTTACCCAAAACCGTACGAATGCGTACAAATAAGGTGTGGGGAGGGGTTTAAAGCATCAAGTTCAGCCACAGTTTGTTTATTTCTCAATTTCTATTTCTCCTAAAACCTGATTTCTTTTTAACAAGAGAACTTTTTAAATTTCTTTTTAAATTTCACGAGTAAAATATTATGTATATGAGATCATTTCACAATGTTGGCAGGTAACAATACCCCTCAAAAAATTCTCATCGCCCCAAAAAAATAATCCCCGAGAAAAAATCCCCCCAAAAATTATTATGAATTTATTTTTTATTTTTTTTTTATAGCTCATAAAAATTGAATAAATTAGTTGTTTATAATATAAATCTTCTATACATACATTTTATGTTACAAGTATATTATGTAACAAAAATTATGTTACGAGCAAAACCTTAATCCTTCATTTTTCATGCATCGTCTGACAATTAAGTAGAACATGCGAAGAGTCTACATAAATCATCTGACAAATAGGTAAAACATGCAATCAACATGTTTTATCTTTTTTTTTTTACTTTGAGGTGGGGGATTATTTCCTAGAACCTCTTCAATCGTCTAATCATTTTTTCGAGTTTTAAGAAATAAAAAGAAAAAAAATCGCTATTTTTCTTTTACGTCACTAAAAAACAAATGAGAAAAACTATTTTCTGATTGGTTTAAGATATAGGAGATTAATAGAATCTAAACTATAGATTTCAACGATTAACTCAAAACCCCCTAAAAATGACTTAGACAATTGTGAAATAATTGCGTCGATACACAGTGAATTGACTCATACAATCTAGCTGGACAAAAGTCAATTCAAGGAATCAATTAATAGATATTCCCATGATATTACTGAATACTCCCAAGGGAAAAATTCAAAATATTAATTAGTGCACGCGATTTTAAGTGTTAAATTATTAGCGCTCAAGTGTTACTTAAAGATAAACATTTTTTTTTTAAAGAAAATAGCTGCAATTTTGCTGTGTAACAATAACATGTAACTAATTTATTGTGAATAATAATTAACTCTGCTGTCATGAATTTTACTTTAGAAGGTATGAACTTTGTATTTTATCGAAAACTTATTTAAAATAATTAGCAAAAATGATAATTCTATAGATTTAAAAAAACAATATAAAAATTGCAATTTCTTTTTCGTTTTTTAATTTTAAAAGCGTGTAACTAATTTTATCCAAGTATATCCAAGCTGATTTTTTTATATATTATAACCACAACAATAAGTTGTCTAAATATAAAAGATTTGGCTGCCCTTATTTGCCCATTTCATTTTTATTTAACTTTTTTCAGACCGAGTGTATTCTATTAAAAAACTGGAGTTATTTGAAGTATGGAAAAAACATACAACGGAAGAAAGAAATTCTCTTTTGTTTGATTTTATATTGAAAAGTTTTGAAGGCTTATCTTTGAAAAGTAAAAGACGTAGAGTTGAAGACTTATTGCAATCGCGGAGTGCCAATGAATTAACAACGGCTGCTGAAATAGCACATCGTTTGTCGGGTCAAAGAAACATAGCTACTTCTATTAGAAAAAGTACAAATACTTTAGAGCAAAGAAAATCTACTGATGTTATTTGTGGTACCAGGCAGTTAAGTAACGATGATGCACTTGCCTATTATGTAGATTCAAAGTGTACTAGTCACTCTTATAAACAAACAAGAAATTGGTCGTTAAAAGCAGGGCATGAAGTATTTCCGTCTCTTCAGGAGGTTGTGTTACCCTCCTGAAGAATTTATTTCTATCTCAGAAACACGAGCTGAAATTAAACTTCAAGCCATATTGAATAAAACAACTGAACGCCTAATCGAAACAATAAGTCGATTTTCCAAAAATGCATCCTCTAATTTGTCGCTTACATTAATAAGCAAATGGGGATGTGACGGAAGTTCTGGCCACAGTACCTATAAACAAAGATTTGAGAACTCCGATGATAATGATGAATTTCTTTTTGTGTTTGCGTTTGTCCCCTTGAGATTGAGTGATGACTCAATCTCAACGGGACAAATAGTATTGAGATTGTAACAATAGTATTGAGATTGAGTGATGACTCAATCTCAATACTATTGTTTGGCAAAATCCTCGGCCATCGTCAACACTTTATTGCCGACCAATTAAATTTATATTTTCAAAAGAAACAGGAATTTACTGTAATAGAAACAGACAAAGTTTTGAAAGAAATATCTGAACTTCTTCCAACACTGTGTACTGTTGGCGAATTTAAATTCACTGTGAAGCACAATCTGTTACTTACAATGACAGACGGAAAAGTTTGTAATGCTTTAACCGATACGCGCTCTTAACAAAAATGTTATATTTGTGGTGCTACTTCAAAAATGATGAATGGCGAATTAAAAGGTATGGTTGATAAAAAAAAAAATTATAATTTTGGTTTGTCTACTTTGCATGCATGGATACGTACATTTGAATGCTTGCTACACATTAGTTACCGTTTAGACATTAAAAAGTGGCAAGTTAGAAGCGATGGGGATAAATGTCGTATGAGAGAACGTTCGGAAGAGATTTTTTTAAATCCAGAAAAGAGCGGAGAGATTACAGGATTAAACGTCGAATTAATTAAAAAATTAGTGTTTTATTAAGAACGCTATTTTCTGGTCATGACATTAATTGTGTCAAATTTGAAAAACTTTGTTTCGAAACAAGGACTTTATATTTACATTTATGTTCGTGGTATTACATGCCGGTTACAGTCCACAAAATTTTAATGCATAGCACGGAAGTTATTAGGTCGTGTATTCTTCCGATTGGACAACTTTCAGAAGAATCTCAAGAAGCACGAAATAGAGATTGTAGGGGATTTCGAGAACATCATACCAGGAAAAATTCACGCATTTCTACAAATATGGATTTGTTGAATATGCTCTTAATAACATCTGACTCTGTTATCAATTCACTTAGAGAGCTGCGTGCAATAAAAAGCAAAAAATCGCCATTAGAGGTTTTGAATTTGATTGTTCCGGCTCCAAGAATTGCAAATTGTAACTTGTTCGATGAATCAAATGATGAGTCATCTGAAGATTCAATAGATGAGTGTTTAGAGGATATAAACGACGAGTTTTCTGATAACTAATTATAAAATTTATTGTATAATATTATGTATTCTTGCTTTACAAATATATTTATTACTTCTATTTTTATTATAACAGTGGTTGCTGCAATGAGGGGAAATGGGGGGGGGGGGGTAGTAGTTAGGGGTAGGGTTCCTTATCCTCCGCAAATAAAAACGCAAATAATTTAGAACTTCCTGTTAAATGCTCTTCCGCGGTGCTTTATTATAAGACCGTAAGGACTTCTGGGAGCACCTAAATACATACAAAAAAAAAAAAAAAATTAATTATTTTTAGTTAAAAATTTTTTTAAAATAAAGCCTTTAACATAAATATATGATTAACTTTGATGTTTTTGGAATAAATTTTAATTATGCACATGATAATGAATTTTGAATTTAAAATGTTGTTTATTTTGTGAATTTTTTTATTTATTTTTTTGTTCATTCTGTTATAAAAAAACCGGTTATTTTTGGTTATTTTATTTATAACTATTTTTTACGCTCAGATAACAATAAAACTGTCTGTCAGCGTTTAGATGATGTAATTATCTGTCGTCTTTTTAACGCAGACTAATCTTCTTTGACGTTATTTTTCAAATTTTAGCTACACCTACATAAAATCCCAGATCCGCCATAAAATCCCAGATCAGATCATAAATCCCACCTCCTCCATCCACAGAATTACGAACAAAAGTCGACTGGAGACAAAGACGACGCTGATTTATTAAATTCATACTGAAACTAGTAATGTCTTGAACAAAAACAAGATCTTTTATAGTTATGTCATTCTACTGTCAAGGAAGTTGACCTGAAAAATAAAAACAAGTTTTTGAAAAACTTTCAACGCTATACTTAATTTTCAGTACTAAAAAATATTGCAACTCTTTCTATTTGATAAAAATGCGATATAGACTCTTCACTCATTTTTTCCTAAGAAGTTGTTTTCAACTGCTGTTTTACTTCCCATTACTTTCTGAAGAGTAGGTATCAGCTGCTCTCTTTTGTTCAGGAAAATTTCTAATACTATTTGAAGTTTAATTACTAGAAGAGATACTTGTTTTACTGATCTTGGTATAAATAAATAAAAAAAAGTTATACTTTCACTTAATACATACATAGTCAACAGTATATAAGTTCTATTTGCACCTTCTCTTTGCTTTGTTATTAGGACATCCAGCTGTAATCGTCAATGG